AATTGGGATCTTTACTTGTCTCGAGTCGAAGCTGATCTTTTTTCTCTTGACTCATTGGTAAGTATTTGGATACTAAGGGGACCATTTCGAATATATCACGGTCAGGGGATTCTTCAACTTGTACCTAAGCTTAACCGTAACAGCATGTCTGCAAATTGCACATTTTTACCTGGTAAATAATAAACATTCAAAGAGTACTTCATCAGCTTGAGCCTAAACCTTTGAAGCCTAACTGAACCTATCTTTTGAATCGGTTTATTCATTATTGCGATGATTGACTTATGATCGGTTTGTATATCAAATACTTGTTTGTAAATGAAATCATGGAATTTTTGCGTACCAAAATGAATAGCTGGAAGTTCTTTCTCAGTTTGGCTATAATTAAACTCATGATCATCCATGGATCTAGAAGCACAAGCAACCAACTTCAAGGTATTATTTTCATATTTTTGAAACATACAGCAACCTAAACCATTCTTGGATGCATCTTATTGCAAAACTGTCTGTCCTAATGGACAGCTCGTTGGAGTTTAGACAACTATACCCATTCAACATTATTCTTAAGCAATTGACATAAAGGGTTCATCAATTCTGACATGTTATTGACATAGCGTCTCACGTAGTTGAAGGAATCAATAACTCTTTGTAATTCAACTTTATTAGTAGGTTTTTGAAGTTTGTACAAAGACTCAATCCTGTCAGCATCAATTTGCATGCCATTTTAAGAGAAAATTTGCTCCATAAACTTAACCTGGCTTTGACAGTATTGCAGTTTGTCTTTGTTAAATTCCACACCGACTTCTTTAGCTCTCCTAACAACTTCAGCTACTGCTAAGTCATCTTCTTGTTTCACTTTCCCATAGATAATCATATCATCATGACAGATTACATTTTATAAACTTGAAAAATGTTTATCAACTTCGTCTTGCGTCTTGGAATAAGTTCTGAAAATTTGACAATCCATAATAGTGCTAGCGGTACACAGAGATATTTAGTGAAAAACGGCAAATTGTGTTAAAAGCATGAATTTTGGTATACTTGATATTTAAACCATAACAATTGATTTGGCCCGTAGCACTACCCCACCACTGTCATTTGTTTATGTTTGTTTAAACAATTCACTCGATCTGTTAAAAAAGCACAAAATAGGCTCACCAGATGCCAATGCCAAATAAAATTTACATTGGAAGTTGATAAAAAGGACGGAAAGTCATGCTGATCCATCCAAATGCCCATCCTGACCCAAGTCGCCATTTTTATTTTTTGTTTATACATATTGTTTACTAATTTAGTTAATGCAAAATTATTGATTTTTCGAATATTGCATGTGGGGAATCGATTTCGTCTAATTAGGGGTCAAGAAGCTCGACTATCAACATTAGAACTCGTTTCCCCGCATTTTTAATACTTCAATGATACAAATTATTGTTTTTTTTTTTTAAATTATGCTATTCGCCGCTCTTATGTGAAATAACGACAATTCCAGTGCCAGAGAAAAGGAAAGCGAGAACGTTTTTTGATAGGGTTCCACATTCATCCCTTGACAGGTGAATAATACTTTCTTTATCAACATTGTGTTTATTTTTTTCCAAAATCGGTACGGTTTTAGGGCACTTATGACCTTTATGAGTTGAAAATATGAAAAAATTTGCTTCAAATTGAGCTTTTATTTTTTTTCTGAAGATTTTCGATAGGGTTCCACATTCATCTTTTGATAGGTGATTAATACTTTCTTTATTAACATTGTGTCAATTTTTTTTTTTCGAAATCGGTACGGTTTTAGAGAACTTATGGCCCTTATGCGTTGAAAATATGAGAAAATTTGCTTCAAATTGCGAGCTTTTATTTTTTTTCTGAAGATTTTCGATAGGGTTCCACATTCATCTTATGATAGGTGATTAATACTTTCCTTATCAACATTGTGTCCATTTTTTTTTTTTTTTTTTCGAAATCGGTACGGTTTTAGGGCACTTATGGCCCTTATGGAACGAAAATATGAAAAAATTTGCTTCAAATTGAGTTTTTATTTCTTTTTCTAATGATTCACATTCATCTTTTGACAGGTGATTAATACTTTAATAGCATTTTGTCCATTTTTTTTTTCGAAATCGGTACGGTTTAAGGGCACGAGTTGAAAATATGAAAAAATTTGCTTTCGATAAAGTTCCACATTTATCTTTTGACAGGTGATTATAACCTTCTCCATCAACAATGTGTCGGTAACATACTGTGTGTCGTTTTATTAATAAATTGTGAGTGAATAATTCAAGTCAATGATAAAAGTTTAAATTAGATACCACCCCTGTGCTTGTGCTAAAATTTTTAATTCCACACACTACATCCAATCAACACTACCTATATTCAATACTGAAGAGTTTTTGGTTAGTTAGCCCATCTACGGGCACTTACTGCGGTCCCTGGTTACGGAAGGCTACTCAGCTATAGTCGTTATTTTGAGCCAATATCTCTAGATTGATTTTTCAATTTGTTTGCTAGGATATTCGCTCGTCAGGGTAGGGAAATGTTAGTAGATTCAACAAGGCCCTGATGCACGTCCTGAATACCAAAAATTAAAATCCCAGCACAAAAGACAGCACATAATTTCTTTACCTTTGAATTACTTTTTTTTATGTGCGTTGTTTACAGCATGAAACGATTTTTGTTAAATACATGAACAATGCACATGTTATAAAAAAAAATTATAAACAAACAAATAACATAAAAATAAAATTAATAATACTTGTATAAATTGAACTCTCACAAACAAAATAACAATAATTATTTAACTGACCTGTGAAGGCTCCTTATGACACACAAACTAATCACAAATTGGATTGAATAATCAGTTGGACAAACGGTCCAAGGCACAAGCTTTTTCTCTAGTCTTCCATTCTCTTCTCTACCCTTCGGTACTTTTTTGTGTGGCGCGTCTACGCTTGCCCCTACTTGCCAGCGCATACATGGTTGCAAAATCAACCATTTGATTTTCTTTACTTGACGTTTTAAAAAAATTTAAGATTTGAAAAAATAATATTTCAAATAGGTGGTTTTCTTCAATAAAATGGTTGGTGCTTCAGGGGTAACAGGCGAAGAAATGAGAGCAGCTCCAAAGCGTCAAACTCTGTTCACCGAAACCGGTCAAACAGTAGCCGAAGTACTTCGGAGTAGCTCGGGAACGCTTAAAGGATGGCACTCGAGAGAGGCTATGGTATTCGGGTTATTGTTATTATTCCAATCTTGTTTTCTGATTTGGTGTCCTCGCTTGTGTTGCACTCACGAGAACTAGCTCAGTATCCAATTGATGTGAACTCGAATTACCTTGAAGTATGAGATAATCAAAAGAACTTCTACACTCCAGGCACATATTGCGAGTTTCAAATAAATCTCTTTTTTGCACCCAATTTTGTGCATGTGTTTATATTTGAAATTCTGCTTCAAAATTTTAACCGACAGCTCTTTGTTGATGATTCTTAAATGGTTACCCTCTACCCTGTAATTAATCTAACTACAATGTTGCCGCTATACTTTTGCGTATCTACTTAGAATTTCTTTTGAAGTAACCCAAAGGATGTTTTTTTTTTTTGTAGTCAAATAGTCAATTTTCAAGTTATACTCAAAAATGCGTTTATCTATTGACCAATATATTTGCAATTCATTATCTCTTTAAGATTGTAGGTAGGTATACCTAATTTTCTAAATGCAAAATAATCTATCTATGTTAAGATTCCAAGAATCGAAATCTCAGTTACAGGGAAAGAAAGGTATGTTTTAATTTGTTCAATAACTTTTTCAATTATCATCTTCATTCGGCAAATAATTTCTGTTTCAATGGGTACAGCTTTTATGAAAAGTTTATTTCAACTTTCCTCTAAATATTGTAAATGACGAATTCCATTTTTATATGTAATATGATATCTCATGTTCCGATAAATATTCACGGTCTCAATGAAATTGGCACTGCCTATTATGTTCATGTAGCTTCTGGCATTTTCAACAAACATATTAATATTTTCTACTATATGTCATCATAAATTTAAGTATTCTTGGGAATGCATACGATTGGCCTTTAACCTATAGCGATTTATTTATTTTCTGGGCATTATAAATCATTCGAACAAAAATGTTTAAAGCATGGGGTCAGCTTACATTTTGCTCAGTCCTATCAAAAACAATAAGTTATTTTACTTATGATTAGTATTAATATTTTCTGTAATTTAAACCTACTTTAAGCTTCAGCGTTTTAGTATAAAAACAACTTATATTTTCTTGATGCCGCTGCTTTTCCGCAAAACTAGAAAGGCTACTCCAATAAATCTTTTTGGTCTCATTTTATTGCATTTGTCTTTTTTCCCGACATTTTAAACGCGCTCTGTTTTCTAAACACCACTAAACAGATTCCATCTTGCGTGAGAATAGTCAGAACGACAACTCATTTCCTGCTTGCCAGGAAAAGAAATAAAACCACTGCGATTTTCCTAAATCGCTCTTCTTCCTTTAGCTTTAAATAATAGAGAGATATACTGACGCTTTTTGTTGAAATTGGAATTTAAAGCTCTTTGGGTAATAGAGCGTGTGTTGAAACAGTGGTCATTGGGGAAACTGGGGCGAACATTTTTCCTTGGCTTTTTTTTTGTCGTGATTCTTGTTAGTTATTTGGTACTTTTGGCAGTAAATACTACGGGCAAAAGTAAGCCAGGACAATAAATCCTTTTGGAATAACAAAGTTGGTAAAACACAAACTCTAGCTTTTCATTAAATTTTCTTGGGATGCTGTATACATTCAGTTATTATCTGACTTCCTGGATAACCTTATCAGTCATCACTATCTTTTTCTTCACCAACGCTTCAAGTTTATCCTGGACTTAAGCTCCTCCAACTTCCTACCTTATGGCACCAGTTACCATAATTTTAACTCAGTCTTTCAAATACGCTGCCAGATTCTTATGAATACCTAGTTGAGAAAGTAAAATAATTTAACGTATCTCCATTGTTATTTTCAGCTCCGTATACGAAACCAGAGAAACAGCCCAGTACAGAAGTAGTCAACCTAAATCAGAACTCAATCCAGAGCGACAGCAAACCGGGCACGGGCTGGCAGTTCACCACCGAGCCGGGATTTGTAACGAGAAATAAGAAACCGACTAGTTTCAAGCCGAAGCCAAATAAACCAACGAAGAAGCCGCTGCCGAACAGCAGTAAATATCCAACGAAGCCGGTTAAGTCTACGACTGAAAAGTAAGTCCCTTGAGGGTTGAAATGTTTCTGTGTCAAGCGGAGAGCGCTGCGGCCAATTGGAACGGATAGTTTTTGAGCGAATTCTAAATTGCATTTTTACAATAATCGGGTATTAAATTTTGCAAATGGAAAATTATTAATATAATTTTTATTCAATATACTCGGTCAGTAAAATGAATTTCCATGTGCTCGACATTGAGTGCAAATTTTATTATCGTGCATTGCAATAATTCAGCTACCGTGTGCCGTATTGTCCCGCTATCCCATGCATGTTTGGGGATTTTCGCGCTTCAGTATGCACATGCAACCAATGAAAATAACAATACTGGTTCTGGATTTAGTGGGTATTAAAGTTCGATTTATAATACATTTTTATTTTGGGGCAAATAGGAAAAATTGTAAATCTTGAATATTTTTGAGCTCTTTTTTTGGTAGAATCCTCTTGCTCTCGCGGTATATTGTAGTAGGAGTCAACTACTCTCCTGTGAATTCAGCGACGGTGTCAATTCAGAGTCCAACTGATTCTTTGGCCTCTTATGATATAGATATCTGTACATAATGGCCTTTACCAAGGGGGTCGTAGATAATCATTCCGATGTGTGACCGCCCTCTCAAATTTAGCATGATGATTTTCAAATCCCCTCTCAGTTCGCATAAATGTCCGTTGGTGGCCAATAATGTTTTTCACAACCTCGAATCGCTTCCTGAACGTCTTGGCTACGTGTCACCAAAGAATTGTTCGATACCTTCATTTACAAGTTCATGGTGCTCAGCGACGGATATAAACAACCCATGGCTCTTTTCTCGTTTCCGACCGTTCCAGTGTAGGCTGTCCACGTCAGCATTGCATCCATGGCCAGTCTATTGTACTTAACTTCCCTTCTCCATCGGTATCAATATCGACCAGTATGTGAACCTTGTCGAAAAGTATGGCTTGGCCCATGGTTAGTTGATCTTAATTTTTTCAATTGGTGCGCTTCTCCAAAATCATATCAATTAGTTCGTGCAGTTTAATTCTGATTCTCTGTGCGAGGATCGCGCAGTGCAATCTTTCTGTCCTGTGTCATGAGTGTGACCTTTTTGGGATACCGGCATTCAGTTCTCTTGTTCTTCAGCGGTGTTTACGGCGAAGGTACTGCCTGTCAAGCAACTATGAACCAGTTTGCAAGTTTCTGCTTGACCGGCAGTTTGAATCACTCTATCATGCCAGACTCTATTAGAAGCTCTTTCGACATCTACCAGTTCAGTTGTCTTTTCCAGTGAAACTTATTGGTGACGTGCTCCTCCGAACATTCTGCTCCGAATCCAAATGGATATTTCGAAATAAACTCCAGTTCTTCAGTGTCCTGTATATAATCCTGAAGTTGATGGCTTCTTCTGATACCTTACCCAGGAAGTGGAAAAAGCTGATGAGACGATAGTTCTGTGGAGACTTTGGGTCCTTTGCTGCGTCACTTTGCATGACGAACTCTACATTATTTCAATCCTCAAACGGATATGGTTGATTAGAGTTTTCCCTGGCATTTGTTTATTCATTTTATCACAGACTGTGTTTGAGCTAGTGGTTCTCTAACATTTAGTCTTCTAATAATCATCCGAATTTCCTAGAGAACATGGTAAGTTCTGATACGTCGCTCCCTCCATGTCCAGATTTCGTAGTCTTCTTGTTTGCGATAAAGTTTTGTATACACCACGTCAGTAAAGTGTCTTTATCGAACTCGGCCTTTTACTCGCCTCGCTCGCTCGACTCATAATCTCAGAGTCGTTCGATAAAGTATCACTTCACTGCCTTGGTACATAAATAACTATTTCTGGTAATTCAACAGATTTGCATACATCAATCATTTTTTCTAATGAACAGTCATCACGTAAAAAACGTTCGTTCAAACTTTTTGAAAAAATCCAAACGGCTCACCTTCTTGTTACTTCCTATTCAAGAATTGGTATACATTCATTATTTCATTAACTAAAGAAAAATAAAATAAATATACTTAAACTAAAATAAAATAATACCATATTTAAAGCAATAGGTAAATAAGTTTTTCAAGATAATTATTTCATTCTTTTTTGGTAAGCAAGGATTTTCCAAAACGCATAAGATCTACTCAACATTTGTAACACTTTTATTTTACGTAAGAAAAATCAATTACCAAAATGTAACCTTATTTGGATTGCGACCTCAGTTCAACAGAGTTTGTTAAAGTGTCCACGTGCCCGGTTCGTGGATTCGTGCGCCACCAATTTTTGAAACTAAATCGGAAAAGTCCTGCGATGACTGCAGGTTGAACTAAAGTACAAACCAAATTATTATGCCTGAAATGTAAGAAAATAATTGGATAAGCAAAAAGACAAAGAAAGCAGGTAATTGGCAATACAACAAAATCAGTATTTATTGAATATTAAGTATTGATTTAGTACAAGTTATGGTGATTAAATAATGATTATGACAAGTATTCAGAGGCTAGTATGACGACTAGCAGGAATAAAGAACCTAAAGGCTTCCTCATAGTCAGATTTAAGAAAACTGTCTGTCAGTATTGATATGTATGAATACCTATGTAAGCAGAGAGCTATACTTAAAACTAAAATAACCAATAAGTGCGAATTAACACACACCCAGCGTCAGTGATCACTCCGCAAATAAATGGGGTCAAATTTTTACTTAAATGTGAGTAACTAAAGTTACCTAAGCCATATACGATATTTTTAAATAATTAATAAAAAAAATTACACTAAACTACTTAGCTTTATGCCGACAATTAACAATGGGTCTGGGATTTCACACTCGTACCAGATGATCTATCTCATCAATGAAAACTAGTTCGCCGAGTCTTTGCTATTCAGATACAGTGGTGGGTACTGCATACCATCAAAACATCCACTGAGTTGCGTTATCGAAAACGGTAGCATAAAACCGTACCATAAGACCCTAAAGAAAGCACCAATGAGTAAATAAATTACCCTTAAATCCCCATTGAAATTATGCCACTTGGGATATGAAATTGTACATTTCAATTCCCAAATTTTAACCCATTTACCAAATATAATGAGTTCAATTCATTAAATTAAGTTGCATTGCCAAAAAAAAATATTAAAATAAAAAAAACTATAAGTCTACCAATCAATGTGGCATAGAATGGTCCCCCAATAAAACATTAAAATGGAAAATTGCCATTATAATTACCTCGTGGATTTTTGAGGGTCACAGCTCAAAGGTTGAAGGTGAACGGAAGGTCATGAAACTCTAATTTCACCTACGCTGTCTGATCCAATTTGGAAGTTCACAATAACGAGCAACAATAAAATCAAGGCTCTAAGAGTCTAGGCTCAAACAATTCAATCCAAGCGACGTGATGTGATATTCTATTGTGAGAATAGAACTAATTAATTTACAACAATACAAATTCACAAAATGGTGGACTTACCGACTAGAAGAAATAGATAAATCCCTTAGAAAGGTGATTTGGCTGCCAAAAGGTAACAAAAACCAAAACTAGACTGGCAAAACCAAAATTGAAATTATCTGGATGACCGGATCCTAATTAAATAGAGAAAATCACTTAATTTTCTTTATGGTCAACCGGATAAAAAAACTATCCTTCAGGCCAAAGCCAAAGTGTTCTTGTCGCTGGACGAAATGGAAAAGACCGTTGTACGATTTTTGGGACCCTAAACCAGAAATTACTACGCACTAACTTTTTTTTATGTTACATTTTTTTTTCTATCGAATTCCACATTCCACACTTTAGGAAGGATTGAAAGATAACGACAAAGATATCGATAGTCGTCAGCGAAACCTCCAAAGGGACTCAACAAATGGAACCGACTCAATCCACACAAATCAGGAAAACACTATTCTCGTTAAAATCTATAAATAACTTCACTTATTAAATAATATTGTCCATGCCTTCTCTAACACGACACCAATTATATCGACATTTATAGAAAAACCCAACCCTACGCGATCAAAACCAAAGTACCAGCAAATTGATCGATATAGGTACTCGATAACAGGTAAATAAAAGAAATGAAATCCTCCAGTAAGAGAGAGACAGAGAGGGAGTGAAAACTAAAGGAATTAATCCTTCGAAACGAGCTGGCGCGAAAATAAAATTGAATGACAATTAACTGGACATAACCCCTTTTTATTTGAAAATCAAAACAATGTTGGCTATCGACTAATGAAATTGATAATTTATGTATATTCCTTTTAAGGACAACAAGAATAAGATAACCAGGCATTGTTTAATAAATATTCATCTGCAATGGTCAACTAAATCATTAGACAAATGATAAGGAGCAAAATCTTGTCTGGCTGTGCCTGAAATTATCTAAAAAGATGCAGAGTAAGGTAATTAATATCCAATCAATTAAGTCAGCTCTAAAATAATATTTGTGTGTTACCAGTTAAAACGCTGAATTACTCATTTAATGGGAAGAGCAAAATTAAGATGTTACACATTTTCTTCTTCTGGCTTTTGGAGGGGTAAACCTGAGAAACCCGAAAGGTCGAATGGAGAAATTCATTCGCGTTTCGCCGCAGGTACATACCTGGCGTGCGAGGTTTCTCCACTTCGGCCATGTTCGGGCGACTCGCCTCAATCCTACGGGAGCCGCTGGGGTTTCTCTCTAGGTTTACCCATAAAACTGGTGATTGTGCCACCCAATTCCAGGCATCTGGCTAAAAGGGCGTATGCACCAGAATTTAGAGAGGTAGCTGTGTTTACATGGCGGCGTGCGACCAGTCCACATATGACCAGGCATTTGAGGTGCTGCCCAGGTCGCAGGGGGTATAACTGGTACTTCGGGGAGACAGGGTGCCTCGTCGGCCTCCGCTCCGATGTCTGTCTTTGGGGAATGGACTCGAAGGGGCATGGTCGCTAGATTGGGATAGTGGCTTCTTGCGGTCCATTATGTGGCGCATGGACCTCAAGCTGAGGAAACCTGTCACGTAGGCTGCGTTGATAGGTAGGTCTCAGCCTGGCAAATGTCGCTTGGGGGGTA